GTTAGGGTCAGCTAAGTCTGCCTCAATAATCAAGAAATTCTAACATTTTTAAGACAGTATATGTAACTGTTTATCTGTTCTTTGCCATTCTGATTGAATAAAGATTTACGGAATTTCATTCAGTTTCACACATTGTTCAAATGACTTGTTTGTACGTAACAATAACCCATGTAATTTCAGATTTAAATACCAATAGGCTACTTGGTCCATTTCAAATGCCAACTACCAACCTAATAGCTTATTACAGCTATTCCCACACCATTTACTCCGCTAGTCTTCATAACTAAGATGCTCGGAGGAGACCTACACGGAAAGGCATTAAATACAACAATATGATATCAATTAGAGATTTATTTATTTCTGTATTCCCTTAGTCTGTTATATTAATAACAATAATCGCCGACTCTCTTTAACGCATCTGGGACACATGTCCGACATAGGAGAGGAGGCGCTATTTTTCTCGACGTGCTTAGAATGATAGAACAAATACAATATCGGAGTCTTCGAGTGCAACCAGAGTGTCAGAAAAGCAAAGATAATTTGTAAGAAGACTTGACGGAATGGTTTCAATAAACGAGTGGAGGCATCGTGATAAGAAACAGCTACTGTTGCGGTGCATCCAAGTACAGAACGAGAGTCGAGAATGCCAGAAACAAGATGGAATGAATTCACAAGAGACCAACCACGGCGACACAATTATTAGATCGTTTCACATATCCCATAATATTTGACCCTTCATGTGTCAAAATTGGTTAAAAGTCACAATATTATAATGCCGTTACACGCCATTATTTTGAATGTATATCAATAAATGAAAATGCCAACAAATTTCACATTTTCACTGGCGCAATTTGTTAGACATTGCCCTTATTGTTTACTATTATTTAGTGTACATTGTGCAGGAAATTCTCATTTGCATTAAAACAGTTAAGCTACCGTCAGTGGCTCATCTAGATGAGTGAGGAGTTCGGGCCCTCCTCGGGAATGTTTTTTTTAACATATTATGCTCTCCTGCATCCCTCCATGCAAGTCAATTTAATGCCTGTTAATGGAAGTTGTGAATAATGCTATTTCACTCATTATATAATTTTGTTATAAGGCATAGAACCCTATAAGGTAGACCCCTTGGCGGGAGAGTATGTGGACTTACGTGGAGTAAAACCCATCCCTATGGTAGATAAGCCACTGGCCACAATAACTCCTTTAAAACTGAACGCCCATAATATCGCTATATATAGAATTCAAATTCTTAACATTCAGCAATAAATATTTCAATATTTAAATCTTTATTTGTTTATTTGTCATTCGAAAGGAATATTTGCTCTGAGTCAAGCCTTTTTTGATGTTTTGATTTTTTAATTACTCAAATTTAATAGAATCATTTTTAATAAGATACAGAAAATGAAATGCTTGATTGTTGGAAATTAAACTTATTTGAACTCGAAATTTCAAAAATATTAGGTTAAAAAATTCTTGCTCAATAATAAGTTCTCAAAATATTATACAATTTATATGAAGTGCACATCTATCGACGTCCTTAAATAATTTCATGCATTATGTGAATTTTGAATGCGATAAGAATTGAAATATAAGGAAAATTAAGAAGTGAACTTTGTTTCTGTGAAACTTCTGTGTCTATATCAGATGTTCCGCATTGTCTGGAAAGAGGGAGCTAACATTTACAAGTTTATATAGAAAATAAGTATAAAACCAATATGTTTCTTTACCATATTGAACATGATGGATCCATCATAAAAATATGTTGTGGAGAAACAAGACAGAACAAGTATGTTTTTATACCTTACTGTCGAACAAGAAACCAAACAAAACATCATGAGCAAACAAAAAGTAAATTTAGGATAATAGTGGTCGGACAGTGCTGTTCAAATCAACATTTATAGTGTAACGTCCATATCTCTAAAAATTATATATAACATAATATTAATAATTAAACAAATTAATGTATATATACTTTACTTTAATATTACATTTTATGTATATTGCATATACAAAGGCGGTATCTTTTCAGCCTTCAATTCGAAGTGTAAGAGAGGCTCATTTATACTAAAAACTTCTCAAAAGGTTTTCACTCAATTCGATTTCGTACTTCCAGGACAAACAACTCTAAATACAAAAAACCGGTACAATTGTGTTTTGTTTTAGGTTAAACCGCCCGTAAATTTTGATCGTAACATTTTAAGAAACATGGTGGCGTATATTAGATATCTCGGGACATCTCTTAATGTCGCAACCACAGACGATGTTCGATGTTATTGTGCAGACCAACCTCAAATATTCAATATCAGTGACCAAAATCATTCATTAAATAACGGTACACAATTTTATGGTATACTACGCCTTACCCTTTAATAAAGAATAGTATACCATAAATATGTGTTCCGTTAAAGTTGTAGTATAGCATAAAAATGTGTTCCGTTAAAGGAGTAGTGTACCATAAAATTGTGTTGGGTTATTTAATGTGATGTCTACCCCTGAATGTCGCTTAAGGATCACTCATGTAACTCGAACATCATGTTACTGATATTTTGAAGATATTCAGTTTTTAGTGTGAATTTGTCAATAAGAAGGTCATCCTCTGAACACGTCTTCAATCTTTGGTCATCTAAACATTTCTAGTGTTTTCGATTAAATGAAGCGGTAAAATTAAACCGTTTACACAATTCCTAATGAAAATACCAGTATATATCCTCTAAATTGGTTTAAATATAAGCAACTGCATAAAATATAAAAGACGAGTAGGAAAGGAAATGATGTTTTTTCTTCGCCAACTTAAAAACATATTGACGCTTCTTAATTTCAAGACAAACATAACGTGTATAGATTGTGGTAACAAGACGTACATAAATGTTAGAAAAGATGTAAATATATATAAACATTACAGGGGTATATGTGTTCAGTTAAATCGTGTTATATTATCTTTTTATCGACTTCCTGACAATTATCAGCTGGTTCCAAGGGGAGTGAGATATTCGTGCAAAACGTGATAGAAAGTTGATATTCTTCAGTTGGCAGGTTTTTTTTTAGATTTTTTTCCGCTCACTTTATTCTTCTATGCAAACCATCATTCTCATTCACTTTGTACTAAATGTAAATTTTTATTTTGCACTATATTGTTTGGTTTGCTACTATTTTTGTTCATAATTTGTTATACTACCTTTTCGACGAAAAACTGTAGCTCAACTATAAAAGTGGGTTGGGACCTCTCTGAATATTGAATTAAATGTATGAGAATATAATATGAAATATTTAGTTTGGTTAAATATAAGAAAAACAGTTTTAATGATATATAAAAACAATAATACTTGTGGTAGTATTAAAAACAATTATGTTCATAAAAGTATAAAAAAAAAAAATACTTGTGGTAGTATTAAAAACAATTATGTTCATAAAAGTATAAAAAAAAAATAATACTTGTGGTAGTATTAAAAACAATTATGTTTATGATAGTATAAAAAATAATACTTGTGGTAGTATTAAAAACAATTATGTTTATGATAGTATAAAAAAGTAATACTTGTGGTAGTATTAAAAACAATTATGTTCATAATAGTATAAAAAATAATACTTGTGGTAGTTTACAATGATAGTATAAGAAAAATAATACTTGTGGTAGTTGACGATTGTGTTAATATAAATAATAAATAATTTGTGGTAATATCTATATAATATTTATAACGCAACAGTTCTGTCCTCGGGGTCATAATACTAGTTCATAAAAACTCGTAATAACTATGCAAATAAAGTTATGTATCCATATACCATGTAAACAGAACAACATGTCATTCTCTGAAGTTGACAAATAAGTTCAATTTAGTTATCACATGAACGTGTATATCAATATCTTGTTTGTTACGCGCAAGGACATTTGGAAGAAAAGTGTCAAAAGGCTAACCTCAAAATGAAATGCTAACAATTTAAGAAAAATATGCCTTTTTTGATGGTGTGTGATAAATAAAATCTTTCACTCGTGCTTATGTAATATGACATTCGTTGCCGGATTAAATGTTCCCCTCGCTGAAGAATCGAGAAATAGTAAATTTGGCAACTCATTTCATAAATTTCATATTAAATAAACAATCGTTTAAGATACGTTATTTTTGAAAAATTATTTGATATTTAAATAATAGATATGTTGTTATATAGAAATAAATTATTGTGATAATATATAAAAACAATAGTACCAGTAACATATAAGAGTAATAGTTATGTAATTTATTAAAAAATAGTTGCATGAAAATAGTTCTGAGTTCTGATAAAATTGAAACTGATTGTAATAAATAATAGATATGCTATAATGGTAAAATATAAAAATGATAGTTAAAATTTGAAAAAATATAAGTAAAATATAATAGTCATGGTTTTATAATAGTTATGGTAAATGTAATAACAATATATATCATATATATGAACGATTATACTTTTAGTAATTTAAAAAGTAATAATAGTTGTTAATTGAAAAATATAGTTTATCTAAATTAAATAGTGGCTATGATAGTTGTAAAAATAGTTGGGGTTGTGGTAGTTGATAGTTGAGGTATGCTTGTAATAAAAAATAACATAGCTGTACATAGTTGTGGTGAACAGTCTTTCAAATAAATAAGTATAATTTTAGAAATATTAACCTTTTTCAATTATTTTTGAGCATTGAGTATTTTGTCTCTTTTTTGTACTTTTTGTTTGTTTACTGGTATCAACTACCTTCCTTCCAAAGCATTAAGTTTTATTGCAAATATAATTTCAAATAACTTTACCATTTCGCTTTACATATATATGTATATATTTATTTTTTTCGTTAGCTTATTTCCAAGTCGCAAATATCTTGGGACATTAAGGGACAATGTAAACATTTACGATTTAATGTAAGCAAAAATTATGAAAATGAAAATTCTGTCCTTTTTTGAAACCCTAAACTACATAATAAATTTAAGCTACAATTTCATATATTGTTGTTAAAATTAAATGAAATAGAATTACCTTCGTAAAGAGACCTGAGCTGCCATAATTCTCTGTCTTTCAACCACCAATAAGCAATTCGAACATTGACAATCACGCCATCGACAAAATCGCTTATGTCCTTTCAAACAGGAAACCACGCCGTGGTTCCGACATCTAGCGCATTTTGGAGTCCGGAGAAGCCGCTTTGGTTGAGAATCGGATTTAGATTTTAATTCATCCGATTCAGGACTTCCTATGTCATCATTTTTATCCGATCCTTGGACAGAAATATCATCTTCAATATCAATATCGACATCGAGATCGTCCAAACTCTCCAAATCGTCTGTTGTCGGTGACGTCATCATTCCTGAATCTGTGTCGTCTTCAGCCATCTATAAAGGAAAGTATTTTTTTTTTCAAAGAAATGGCTAGTTGTGGGTCGCAATATATATCGGGTCCAAAAGATGCCCATTTAATGACATTGTTTACAATTATTATTAACATAACTTCAACACTTTATTTTCATTCATGAAAGTGTTTTGCATTTATTTATTTTGCTTTAGATTTAATTTTTTAATAGGAAATCGCCACTCTTTATATCTTTTTATTTTATTTTTAAAAACAAGGTTTAATACTTAAATGAAATTATATCTTATATTTCTATAGTTTTGACAACATATTGACTGTTTTGTTATTATTTATGTCCACATATCCCGTTTTAACATACATGTGCTATCAGTGGGTATTGGTGTGACAGACACAAAAGAGCAATTCAACACAGTAGATTTGAAAAAACAGTTATTAACACACTTTTTTTCACCACGAGAAATTATCTGGAAGGATAATAATACGCGAGATGTTGGTGTTTCAATTAGACTAAGCATATATACGTTTTATAATATACCCGTGTTCACTACTCTATTTTCTTTGAATGAATACCAATTTTTAAGGAATAAAACAAATTAACTTATAAAAGTGTAAGCATCAATTTCGCACGAGGATATTTAAAATTCAAATATTCGATGTACGATTTCTACTAGATTTCATCATTGTGAAAAATCTTGACAAGTTGAGGGCGTTCACGTTTAAAATACAACTATCAAAAAATCTTGTAAATTATCTCTTTTAAAATGGAAGCTATTAAAATACAGACTACTTTTAAAAATAAACTTCAAAAAGCACATGACAGACATATTTATGATTTATTAAATGATGACTCTATCTCTAAATATTTACATGAATGTTTATGGTCTTTTTCGCACCTTTTTCTGTATTTTATATCTCGTACAAGCGATGTCTTATTTTTCAATCAAAGAACATTCTTGGGATTTCAAGCTTGATGCATCTTTACTATAATTACGTTTTTGTTGATTATTGTTGAACATTAGCATTGTATTGCTGATAATTTTTAGCAATCTTCTAATTCGTAGAAATGCCTCGTCATAAACAAATTCAGATGCGAAACAAGGTACTGGATGACTTAAAAATAACATCTTTATCCTTAAAATCCTTATCACAATTTTTCATTAAAAAATTATTTAAACATAAATTAAATAAATAACATTAAATTCAAGAATTGAGAAGAGGAGGAGAGCAAACATCTAATCTAAAAATTAATTGCTTAACGCACCATTGACTGTATAATACAATAGTTATAAAATCATAACATAAAGTAATATTTACTTGAAATAAATTAAAGCTTTTTCTCGGTTCCTTGAAAGACATATTGGTAAAGGTTTTATGACTAACACGGCGATAGAAAACTGTATAATACCTGACAATTCTTCAATTTTTCACCATGGTATTAAAAAAATATATAGTTTTAAAGTCTTATATTCAGTGTGCAAATTTGTTTGACAAAGTAACTCAAAACTGAAAGCACCGGACGATGATAATTTTAAGATATGGTGCAAATTTCAGATTCAGAAATTTATTTAGTCTCTTATTCACCAGTTCAATTAATGTAAAGCAATATGTTTGTCAAACTATGGTCGACCTGTCAAACTATGGTCGACCTGTCAAACTATGGTCGACCTGTCAAACTATGGTCGACCTGTCAAACCAAAAATTATATACCATTAGTGGTATGAAAAAGATTCATAGCAGCAAAAGCATAAGCGGAGAGAAATTTGCAGCCGATGAGTATTCTATGTTTATTCTATGCTGTTTTCAACGCATTGTGTTTAATCCAGGACCTACCTTAGCGATGGAAACTGTAGAATATAGCTACCACTAATAACCCTTAAATACTCCCGAATTCCGGTAAACACACGACGGCAACGTCGAATTATGACAACATCAAATAGCGACTATTTTCCTGTCACAAGTCGAAGCAAACAAATACATTAAACTACAGGGTGAATGGTATTTTATTGGGCACAATTGTTCACATATGTTAAATCTGCCACCGTGGTGAGGGCACCAAATAACACCTTTTCATTGGTTGCTTCCAATATGGTACCACGCCTTCAATTGTAGACAGCATCATTTTTCTGATGGAACCCACCTGCAAATATCAACCTGCAACACAGAAAACGTGCCTGGAAGAAAGAGTCGAAACTCCCGCGTGTAAATCTTCCAAATTGGAGGATCGAATGTCAAAGAGGTGCAAAGTTGTTCTTTATTTCTAAAGAGTTTCACTGACGATCTGTTGATAATTATCAAAAATAATTCAAAATTGTTCACCTTCAGACCTCCTAAGTCGTTCGTTTTTCTTTGATATCGATAATTTGCACCAAACGGAAAAATAATGAAGAAATCAGAAATTTAGGCGATCATTTGATAAAGGAACGAGCCTTTTTATCTTGTGGGTTCAATAAATTTTGATTAATTTTAAAAACGAAAAATAATAAAAATGCCAGCAAGTATTCCCGAACGTTTAGAACGATATGTAGACAATTTGTTCTAAAATTATGATAAAAGGCGTTCTAGCTTTACTCAAATTACAGATTAAACTGTAAGATATACGAATATTAAAATCAAAAAGATGGAATCTGAAGGTCAGAGAAGTTTTGTTTATTTCAAGAATATTACGTTCTCTATGTGAATAAGAACAATATTAGGTTAATAATACATGTACTTTGAATAGAGTTGATGCACATGAAACATGTATCTGAATAGATCTTATGCACATAAAACATGTATCTTTGATGCACATAAAACGTGTATCTGAATAGATTTGATGAACATAAAGATATATCTGAACAGATCTGATGCACATAGAAAATGTTTCTGATTTTTGAAGTTACAATCTAGCTAGATATCGTAGTGGCATGGCCATTCATATTCCCAACGTTTGATAAATTACCAAGATATTGTTCAAATCTACATTAAATATTTATAGAAAAACAATTTTTATTTTTCAAAAAAATCTTGATAATTGTCATTTTAGTTAACAAAAGTCAATGCATCTAATCATCCTACTTATATTTATCATCATCATCATCATCATCATTATCATCATAATCATCTATTTCTTGAATTCATAAAAAAATTCAAATTTTGTAGTTTTTGTTATTATTGTTCCCGAGTGATACAATTTTGTGTACGCGTTAGTAATGAGCGATTACTAGGCAACTTTTGAGTATGATAATATTGCTTTCGTTCACAGATAATAAATAATATGTGCACAGTGAAATTATTTGTTTCTATATGGAGTGTTTTCTCCACTTACCTTGGTATAAATTAAGTGGATTATTGAAAATCAGGCTACTTTATTTCAATACTAATCTTTGTTGGTTCTTGGCAAATGGAGTCTTCAAGATCTGCATTTTAATGTATATCTGATAAAGCATGTCAGCCTAGAATTATTTTCTTAAGTGGACAAGCTTATCTGAAAATATTTCCAAATTTCTGAATATTTTCAATATTAATCTTTGTTGGTTCTTGGCAAATGGAGTCTTCAAGATCTGCATTTTAATGTATATCTGATAAAGCATGTCAGCCTAGAATTATTTTCTTAAGTGGACAAGCATATCTGAAAATATTTCCAAATTTCTGAATATTTTCAATAATAATTTTTCATTGTCATATGTCTTAAGCCAAAACTATCATATAACGTGTAAACAGTGTAGAACAGCCAATGATTCTCCGAGAGAATGCTATAAAATAAGTCGTTATTCCAAATTATCTTGATTTCATTTTTATCCAACCTCAAAGACTACATTTTTAATTATCATTTAAAATACTAAGAGTCAATTACTGAACCATTGGTTTGTTTTAATGTTTGGGGAAAACATCAGAGTTTAAGGGCAACTACTAAAGCCAATTTCGTCTTATTAGTCGCTTTTATTGGTTTAAAATGGTCAACTGGCTTTGAAGATTGTAATATTATGAGCATTTCCCTTTTCAGCATTACATTTTACCGCCTGTTGGCATCACGAACTACGAAGTTGTTTTATTGTGGATTTAGTAGATACAAAGTCAGACGAGAGAAAATCTATTAAAAGAATATTTGTATCTTTTTTATCTTTCTCCCATCAAAAGACAAAATTTGGCGTGGTCATAAATTCGTTCCAATTTCTTTCTACTTAAAATTTCGTCGAGCGTTTTAAGACGAACTCATTTGACATCGATTAAGACTTTATTTATTTCTCATTTTGAATGTGGGAGAAAACACCAAATTTTGATGTAAACACGAACGCAAAATTAAGTGGGTGTCGATTAAGACTTCATCAAAATTCCAACACGTCAATGTATCAAAATCAGCAATAAATGGAATTTTATTAAACGGCCAAGAGGGGTCATTGATATAAGAATGCCGATGACATTAGCATCTGTGCTTGCAATATTTCAAATTTGACAAGATTAAATGCACGGTTGAACGTTATTTCACTTTGTTTGCTCTTGTTTCCCATGCTTATCATGTCCAAAGATAAACAAATCGCCGATCAACACTTGTTGAAAATGCCATTACAAAATTCTACTACTTAATTTGAGGTTTTAGTGTATAGAGGCTATTATTAGAAATAACAGCTTAAAATATTCCGACGACTTTATTTATGTCATATCTAACAATAACAAATTATTTTCACTGTTAAAATAGTGCAATTGGTTTCTATCATAACTTATGATATATTTGATATTACATCATTTAATTCTTATAAATGCATAAATTAATTTGAATAATAAATATAGTTATGGCTTATAATCTACAAAAATATAAACAGGCTTATCATATCATGTCATATACTAA